CTCTTTCTCTCTTTTACACGTTATTCTAGGTTCAGTTTTCATGATCTCAAAACAAATACCATGGACCCTTCTAAAAACTGTCTTGAATGCAAGGCTAACATGGAAATGAAAAAGAAAAGCCCACAAATTCCATCGAGGAAAAAAATGTGATTTCTTCTTTTGTATTTTCATGTTAGCCCCGATACTTTTGAGAAGGGTCCATTAAAAGGCTTTTCATAAACAGTTGATTAGATTTTGTTATACCATTGCTAGCTCTGTCATTCGCCTGCCAGAGGTTTTATTTAGAGGGGTATTAGCAACGACTTCGTGCTGCAAAGGATTATGGGACTGAATTTGGGAGAGGAAGTGACGAAGTATTCGTGCCGTATTTTTTCTAATATTCCTTTAGAATGCATTAATAAGCCTTTTCATAGTTTAAGAATCGATTCCACTGCCCATGCGATTTTATCCCCAATTTCTCACCTTTGTTTAATTAAGAACAAAAGAAGGTTTAGACAGAAGAAGGTGAGAAATTCAGGATAAAATCGCATGTGCAGTGGAATCGATTCTTAAACTATGAAAAGGCTTATTCTAAGACAGACATTTACGATTTTCAGCAATTGGTGTCTGTTCCATGCTATATATTAAAACATATTTTAGCTTGTCTGACATAGCAACAGTAACTAGGGAGGTAGAACAATGAATACGGAATCAGTGTCGTATATTTCCCCAATTTTAGCGCGTTCGGGATGACATCTTGGGAATAAACATGGCAGACGCAAAGAAAGTCCATGTCTTTATCAACAAATTCATCCCCACAGTTTTTTGCCCACAAAAGCATTACCAATCCTCCTTTGAGGTTTGTAGGGGCAGATTGAACAATTCATAGCTAGATTGGGTTGACAAATGAAAGASTAAAAGCAAAAAGTAAACAAAACACTTATAGATGTCTAAGAAATTATAGAAATTATAGAAATTGATCTTCTGTTGAATTTAATTTCGGTTGTCGGTAGAGTATAGAATTTCGAAATATGAATACTGCAGAATTAGACAAAACTAATGAAAGTAGAATACCAGATGTTAAAATGTGTTGTCGTATTAGTGTTATTATAGTTAATATTATTAAATAATAATCTTCCTTAAGAAAATTGATATTTTCGTTAATAATTTCCATATAGTAATTTTGAAGAAAAAAAATTTGATAAWTGTTAAAATTCTATTGAAAAGAAAGGAAGAATGTTCGTCTTTTTTTGAACTAAAAGAATGCGATAGAGCTCTTAAGCGATCACGTCTTTGATCGGAAAGCACAAGGACTTTGTATTTGACTCGTACAGAATATAACAAGACTAATATTAAAGATTGGCTTTGTTAGCAGAGGAAAAAAGTCCTTTCGCTGGATGTGAACTCCATTCCATTGATTATATGGATGTGAAATATTCATCGTCTAATGGAGTTCACATCCAGTGGAAGGACCTTTTGGATTAATGAAAAAGGTCCTTTCACTGGATGTGAAATAGTGATGGTCTAATGGAGTTCACATCCAGTGGAAGGACCTTTTTCATTAATCCAAAAGGTCCTTCCACTGGATGTGAAATAGTCATGGTCTAATGGAGTTCACATCCAGTGGAAGGACATTTTGGCTTAATGAAAAAGGTCCTTTCACTGGATGTGAAATAATCATGGTCTAATGGTGTTTACATTCAGTGGAAGGACATT